CCTCCCTGAGGCTCGTAAGGATTGAATGCTGTAGAAAAAAACTTCTAGGTTAAAAACATGGTTTTTTTCTCCTTTTATAGGAAAAAAAATTACACAGTAGTGTTGAAATAGTTCAAGTTTAATTTGATGATATATGGTCTGTACTTAGACAAACACAAGTTATACAACATAGATAACGTGGGAAAATACCAACTTCGTCATTGCACATACCAATAAATAAATACATTTGCTCCAGAATACCAAAGAGTTTATTCAAAAAGTCAATAAAAGCACAGTTTTGTAAGTTCATCTAAAACTCCAGATAATCTTGAACAAAAATAAATGTCTGACCACTCCAGAATAGGAAAAGACGGTCTTGTGCAAATAGACATACACATTCTAAGCGTTATGAAAACTGGCTAACTGTGTTCTCAGCAAGAGAAGCGTCACCCATCCAGACCAAGACCCCTTCATCACCAAACGCAGGAAAGGGCCAGAGTCGGGCTCCCTTTCTGAGCCACTCCAAGTCACTCTAGGACTCTCTCATCAGCCTTGTCTCAGCTCTGCCTGGACCTTGATTGGGGTGGGGGAAGGGGGCAATAGAACAGAAGAGGAAAGGGGTGTGACATCTTAGGGAAGAACAAAGGCACAATGATGAGCTAGAAACGGTGGTGATGAAAGCAAAGGTCAACTCCCAGCCACCCTGAATCCCACTGCAAGCACTGACAGTCCAGCCTCCTGGTTTGCTCAAAATCACATACCAGTAGCCACGAAGTACAGCGATGCCTTCTGTAAGACCAACTTGCTTCTCAGCTTGGTTGGAAAATTAAAAAACCAAACCTGTCCCAGTACTCCTGCTTGCCTCTGCCTTGTATCCTGAGATGACAGAAAACTTGAAGTGTGAGGACAGGTGATCAATAAACTCAAGCCAGAGCCCATCCTTTGGTCTGTTCCTGGGGCTGCTACAAGTTCAACAAGCCAGAACCCAGAGAGTCTGAGCTACTCCAAGTCACTCTAGGACTCTCTCATCAGCCTTGTCTCAGCTCTGCCTGGACCTTGATTGGGGTGGGGGAAGGGGGCAATAGAACAGAAGAGGAAAGGGGTGTGACATCTTAGGGAAGAACAAAGGCACAATGATGAGCTAGAAACGGTGGTGATGAAAGCAAAGGTCAACTCCCAGCCACCCTGAATCCCACTGCAAGCACTGACAGTCCAGCCTCCTGGTTTGCTCAAAATCACATACCAGTAGCCACGAAGTACAGCGATGCCTTCTGTAAGACCAACTTGCTTCTCAGTTTGGTTTGAAAATTGAAAAACCAAACCTGTCCCAGTACTCCTGCTTGCCTCTGCCTTGTATCCTGAGATGACAGAAAACTTGAAGTGTGAGGACAGGTGATCAATAAACTCAAGCCAGAGCCCATCCTTTGGCCTGTTCCAGGGGCTGCTACAAGTTCAACAAGCCAGAACCCAGGGAGTCAGGCCCAGGCATGCTGGGCACCAGGAGGAAGACTCCCTCCGCTCTCCGGAGAGGTGTGCTGGTCACACCACATCCCGGCGCGGGGGAGGACTTCCAGAGGGGAACGCCAGTGTCGCTGCAGTCGGGGGAAACCAGGACTCCGCCAGGGAGATGGAATTTGTGCTTGCGTAACAGCCAAAGACGTGCCAGCCCAGCATCTCCCGTCCCTGCAGACCCCACTGCGAGGAGTGCACGGAGCTCTTAGTGTGAAATCAGCGCTGTTGCTTGTTCAGTTTAGAGGCAAATGCCCTGCTCTTTATAGACAAAAAACTTCTACAGTTTTCTTGCCCTTGTTGGGAGGCGGACTCCAAAGGCCCTCTTCACGCCTGCAGTTACCATACTCCCAACACCTGTCCGCAGCACGGCCGGACCTTACGTGCTCCTTCTGAACTAGTGCCGTGTTTTCTAAGGCACAGTCGCTAGAATATGCTCAGGTTCATCCAAAAGCATGCACACAACACACGGGTGTCCCCAGGTAACGCAGAATGGGAACTGACCACTTTCTCAGACCCTGTTTTCCTAATCAGAACCTGGGAGACGCTGGCGCTTCCTAACAGCCCGAACGGCATGAACAGAATCCTTATCCCTTTCCTGCTCATCCTTAGAAACAAACCTCAGTTGATTCTTAGCAGATTGCCCTTCCCCCAAACACCACAGACACAGAGATGCAGACAGATACAGAGCACCTTGGAGCCAGAAAAAAAGAAAAGAGGCGGGAAGTGAATGTCGCCACTCTGCAGAAGAACTGTTCTGGGCAGAGGGCGTGGAGGTTTGGGTGTGGCCCCAAAAGGAGTCACAGGAGCAGTCCCAGGAGGGCTGCCTACGGTCCCAGCTGCCCCACGCCCACAGGAACTGCCCATTCTATCCTCAAGTTCCCTGCCCAACCAAGGGCCATCTGGGTGGAGAACAAGAACTCTTACTACGGGAGAGGCTGGGCCCTGGCAGCTTTGAGTCTTTGGGCCCACAGCTCTTGGGGGTGTGTGTGGATCCTGGGGCCACTGGTCAAGGACAGCCAGCGTCACCAGGAATAGGGCCGTAAGAACAGACCTGAGGCTGGGTCTCGAGCAGGTGACAACTGTTCTTGTCACTCAATGCCCAACAGAGGGTCTTGTTGCTAAGCTACCCTTCTGCACAACCAGCGAGCAGCTCAGCCCACATTCTGGGTCCCACCAAAACCCAGCCAGCCCGGCTCCCGTGCGCTGGAGGAGAAAGCGGGAGTTTGCCATTGTGCTTCTGGTTCCTCTACTCTGCCACCAGGATCCCCTCTCCCTAGGATACAGCACCAGCTGTTCTGTCTTTAAATCCCATTCAGAGAAACAGTGTGACCAGACATTAGAGATCATCTAGTTTCCATCATCCCAATTGGCAGCAGGTCTCTTCCCCAGGTCAGAAAAGGAAGAGCCGAACGGGACCATGGGAAGGAGGCGGGCACCGCAAGGTTCCCTGGGATGTGGACCAGCCCTCTACAGAAAGCCCCAGTGCCCTCAGAATGGTCCCCCTGGAGGGGCCTCTCGGAAACCCCCGGGGGTGGGCGATCGGCTGTGACAGATAACCCGGCTCTCAGTATCCCTGGGAAACCTGTGCTTCAGGGAAGCGAGAGCACACTACCTCCACTCAGGTCAGAACAGCTCCTCCACCTCACAGCAGACCTTGCTGACATGTTTTCAAAGCATCAGTTTCTACACAGCCTTTCCAAGCACATCTACTCTGAAGGGAGGAACTGCCTGCTTCCCACTGACGTCTGCTCTCCATCAGGGTGAACCAGGGAAAAGGACAAAAAGGCAAGAGAGGCGTTCCCATGTCCTCAGAAGAGGATGTTGGAGGAGGGGGAGATCAGGCCCCGCCCGGCACACGCACCGCCCATCACACCCACGTGCAGAAATGGGCAGCAGCCTCGCTAGGCCTGCTCTCTGGGGGAGCCAGACACGGGTCAGTCCTGATCAGTCTGACAGGCAAAAAGCCAGACGGCTTTTAGCAGGGAACTGCCAATCTACTGAGATAGTTTCCAATTCAGTCGATAGCCGCACCACCCCGAACGCACACCATTTCATCTGGGGCGAGGGCATCCAGACTGGGCCCCAGGAAGGCCTGAAAGCCATAGATAATGGTTTTCTGGGGGGATGCTGGGAACACAGAAATCCAGGGAGCTGAAGCTCTTGAAAGGGCAAGGGCTATGCCCTCCATCTTGCCCCGAATCCTCCATTTTGGGGCAGCAGCCATGTGCTCAGCAAGGAGCTTCTTCCCGGAAGCCCAAGCCTCTGCTAGCCACACCTAGGATTTCTTTAAACTAACCAATGATAATCAAGGGAAGTGCGCGCCATAGATACGACCACATCCTATGTAACAAGACACCGACTTGCGCCTGGCCAATCGGCAGGGCCCACAGTCCTCTCTCCTCCCCTTACTATAAAACCCCTTTCCCCACAGAGCTGTCTCGCTCTCTGCCTCTTGCCACTGCATCGGCGAGTGTGGTAGATGGGGAGCCCAAGCTAGCTCGAATAAAGACTCTAATGCTTTTGCATCGGACTCGGCTGGCTCCCTGGTGTGGTTTCTTGGGGATCCTGAAATCTGGGCATAACACTCTGACTCTGCCACTCACCAGCCAGGTGACCCCAGGCAAGTACCATATGTTGAGTGATTTGCCTATGGTGGCCGTTGTACTAGTTGATCTCTAAAGGTCCTGCCACCTCTCATCTCTAGTGATTCTGCAGTACTCCCTGCCCTCCTCAGCCTGCCCCATCCTTCCGAGGACCACGCAGTGCAGTCCTCAGCAGCCACGACCTCCACTCACTGCAGCAGGAGCTGAAGCCCAGGCAGAGCACCTGCAGCTCACCAGCCCCAGCCCGGGCATGCCTACCTGTGTGGAGTCCGGGGCTGGTGACCTAGGCCCGTCCACGTTTCCTGCACCGAGGCTGCTGGGCAGAGAGCTGCTGGGGTAGCTGAGGGCTCCCAGGACAGCCTGGTCCAGGATGCCTGTTCCGTGCATCTCCCGTATGCTGAGCCTGTGTCCTGCAGGCCATCCTCTAAGACAGCTGGCCTTGATGGCTGGCCTCCTGCTGCCTCTGTGCACAGAGGAAACCTAGAGAAACCAAATGAGCTAGAACCTGAGGCCACCAGGCAGCTCCCACAGCCAGGCCCCTGCAACCTTGACAGGGTCCTGACACTGACTCTTCCCCTACCTGCTGGCCTCTCCCAGGCCTGGCTGAGGCCTGAAGTCAGGGGGCTTCCTGCAGTTAAGGGCCAGGCTCGGCTATCAAGCCCTTTGCTGTGTGACGGTGACTGCCTTCCACACACACTCACTGTGCCCCTCCCTGCCGGGATCCGTGCTCATCGACTCCTGGGTTGAGTGGGTGGTTGGGCCACAGCAGCCCGGCATTGTGCTTCCTCTCCCTCTACAGCTCTTCCTGCCTTCGCAGCTTGGCAAACACGACTGCAGCAGGATGCTAACCCAAGGTTGTGTGTGTGTGTGTGTGTGTGGATCCTGGGACACAGAAAGAATTCACTGTGGGCCCTTTACACACACCCCACTTCTCTGCCTCAACAGGGGAGGCAGAGGAGCCAGTTACTGGCTGGCTGGGCCAGGGGGCCCACCGAGAGCCACAGGTTCATCTGGCAGGAGGCCTATGTACAGAGGGCAGGCAGGCAGCTCCACTCCGGGCTGGGCCACCCCGATGGACGTGAGGAGGCCTCTATTCACAGGCCAGTTTGCTGTCGAAGCTGGACAGGGCGATGGAGAAGGCCTGCAGCGCACACAGCGGGTAGTTGTAGTCCATGGTGAACACGTCCTCTGCCACGCGGCCGAACTGCATCACGATGTAGTCAGCTGGAGCCGGGCACCGTGCAGACAGGAACAGAGTCAGGACGGGAGAGACGGGAAAGACAGACACCCAGATCACAAGAGGGAAGAGAAAGCAAGAGGCAGAGGTACCCAGGGAATCTCATGGGACATGAAACAGACCAGTGGGGGAAGGGAAGGACAGAGGGAGCATGCAAACACCAGGAGCTGAGGACGAAGAGAGACATTCCCACCCTGGACTGCTGAGCACACAGAGCCCACGTCCAGGCTCCGCAGGGCCTTCCCGGCCTCCCAGGCATATGGTCTCTACAGCGAATCTAAGCTGTGTGACCAGGTCCTCAGCACTGGCCGCACGGCAGGGCCGGCGAGCGGAGCCCTGAGCTGAGCCTGGCGAGCGTGCGGGCAGCCACGCGTCAGGGCAGACACTCACGGTCGTTGCCATGGATGATCTGGAAGTTCTTCACGGAGGCCTGCGTGACGCGCCCGTGGAAGTTGAGTACGTAGGACTGCGTGTCATCGTTCCAGACAGGCGTCTTGTTTTGTAGCTCAATGATACTCTCCGTGTTCTTATTCTGCCAGCGTGCTAGCAGGGTCTCGTGCTCCTGGGAGAGCAGTATTGCTGAGCCTGGCCCGGCCTTGGCTCCATGACCAACCCAGGGCCATGGGATCGGGCCCAGGGCTGGGGGTCCCCAGCTTTCACCAGACCCCCCGGGCTGCTCACACTTTGCCTCCCGTGCAGACACACGAGCTGGCGCTCTGCCCTTAGGAGCTCATGCAGAGGCTGGGATGAGGGGGGCAGGGTGTGGTGGGGGAGGAACTCACGTTGCGGGGCCGGATACAGACTCTCTCGTGAACCATGTTCATGCCTGGGACAATCACAGTCATCTTCCGCGGCCCCTTAAATCCTAAGACATTAGTCTCCTGCGAAACAGAGAACAGTGGCCACCTGAGGACTCAACTTACTGGGGAGGCTGGAGGGAGGGAAGAGAGATGATGAGCTAGTTCTCACCATCTCCACCTGAACATCTAACAGGTGTCTAAATTTTGCACGTCCAGACTCGAACTCCTGAGTCCCTGCCCTAACTAGCTCCCCGTGGAGTCCTCTCTGCTTCACTCAACTGCAAGTCAGCAAACTACCTGGGGTCATACCTGACTCCTCTCTCTCACCCCACCTCTAATCCATCAGCTAATGCTGCCAGCTCTACCTTCAAATTACATCAAGAATCTGGTCACTCTCACCACCGTCTCACTGAGCTCCCAGTAAAACCTCAGGGGACTCCTCCTTCCCACCCCTGGCCCCTCTCCCTCCGTCACCTGCTCTCCACACAGCAGCCAGTGGTCCTGTTAAGTCATATCATTTTCTTCCTTAGTTCAGAGTAAAAGCTGAAGACCGTTACCCCTCAGCACTTACTCTCCCTGCACTCGCCGCCCTCCTTGCTGTTCCCCATGTGCCAGGCGTCCGGGACTCTTACACTCTGTGTGGTGCCCTCCCCAACACCCACACGGCTGGCCTCACTTCCTTCTGGGTTTTACCCCAGTGCTGCCTCGGTGAGGCCCTTCCTGCCATCCCCCTAAAAGCACACACACACACACGCACACACACACACACACACACCTGGACACTTCACAGCCCTCCCCCTTTTATTTTTTCCATCTTAGCATTTATCAGGAACATATATATTTTGCTTTTGTCTATTTTATAGCTTATCTCCTTAAACTAAGGGTTTAAGTCCCATAAGGGTATACGTTTATGTCTCTTGTTCATTACTATATCCTCAGTGCCTCAAACAGTACCCGGAACAGTATTTGAAGAGATTTGGTATTTGAAGAGATTCGGACTGCATCCCCAAAGCTGACCAGCAGGTGGCACCATAGGATCATACAAAACAGCCAAAAGGCTATGGATTCCCAATTAGCCCAAGTTGATGGGGGTACCAATCCCTCATTTTAAAATGAAGGGGAATCCCCTGTACTTATATTCCCGTTCGGTCTGAGTGTGACACTGGTTAGTGACCCACCCTGAGCTTCAGTTTTCTCATCAATATAATTTAAAAAATAGTAAGACTGAGCTCTTAGACTCTGAGCATCCAGTAAGATAACAACGTAAAGGGCCTTTCGTCCATCAGGATGCTGGAGGGTGGAGGGAAGGGATGCACAGACAAGAACCCAGGCCTGCCTCTCCTTTCCAGGAGGCTCCAGGGCTGGGCTGCATAGACCAGGCCTGGCTCCCAGAGCTCTCCCAGGCAGATGGCCCCCTGGGGGCTGCACTCAGAAGAGGAGAGGGCCTGGGCCCCTCTCCCAGGCAGGGCCCCTCCAAGGGGACAGCCCACCTCCCTGCAGCTTGTCTCCCACAGGGACAGCCCACAGATCAGGCCGCCAGTCCTGACCGTCACATCCTACTTGGAGACCAGAGACCAGAGACCAGGACTCACGTAGCACACGGCGGCCAGCTCCTGACGCAGGGTCCCACCTTCCAACGTAGAGGAGGAAGCCTTCTGGGGGTTGACTCCATTGTCATAAACGGTGAACTTAGTGCCCATGAGGTTGGATCTGCAGGGCAGGCACCATCAGTACAGGGTCACCCACCCTCTGCCCAGGGCAGCAAACAGCTAACAGTCTGTCCTGTGAGGAGCCTGCAAAGCATTCTGGGCTAAGCCAGGAGCCAGTGTGGGGCACACTGCTCACTGAGTCCCCATCTAAAGGGCAAAAGGCCTGGACTTGCTCTGAGCTGAGTCAAAGAACATCTTGGTTCAGGGGTAAGTTCAGGGAGGGAAGTCAGGGTGCCACAGTGTCTCCCTGGAGGAAGAGGCGTGAGCAAACTGAGTGGCAGCTGGCAAGACCGCAGAAGGGACGCAGCACGCCATGCAGACTGGATAAGCTGACCTCTGTCCCATCCGGCCTGAGTCTTGGTCCAGGCCCATCTCCACAGCTTTGGCTCCTTACCTCTCAGCTTGACTTACGCTCCCCAAATCTGGCCCTCCATTCCTCAGCAAACCCTCCTCCCCCGGGACTGGCTCTGAGCCTTCCTCTCTCCCCAAGGTGGTTCTCTCTCCTGTCAAGGCCTCATTCTTAGCCCTGACCCTCAGCACTGACCATGGCCAAGGTGACTTCGTGGTGGCCGACATCATCAGTGACATCCTGGGGTTTGATCCGTCACTCAGGGTGGGCCTGTGCCCACCTGGCTGGGAGCAGCCTAGGGTGGGTGTGTGAGGCCCACCTCCAAGCCTGGCTCTAGGCTGGCAGAGCCCATGGTAGGATCTGAGGGACAGAGGACCCACGGAGAGATCTGACTCCTGGCCTAGATCTCCTCCCTCTAGAGAGCCTGCCCACCCCGCCTGGGGGAGTGCTGGTACCGCAGTTTCCCGATGTAGCTGTCCCCGCCTCGAGACAAGTCTGTAGGGTCCACAGAGATGAGGTAATTGGATGTTTTACTCTTCTTTCTTTTCCTTCCCGCCAGGAGGAACACCTTGGGGAAGCAGAGGAAGTTACACTCCAGACCCAGCCTCTGATCTGCACACAATCACGGGTGCCACTCACATGAGGGACTCTCCCTCGCTTCAGTTCCTGAACACGGTGTGCTCAACAAGTCTGTAGGGTCCACAGAGATGAGGTAATTGGATGTTTTACTCTTCTTTCTTTTCCTTCCCGCCAGGAGGAACACCTTGGGGAAGCAGAGGAAGTTACACTCCAGACCCAGCCTCTGATCCGCACACAATCATGGGTGCCACTCACACACTCACTCACACAAGGGACTCTCCCTCGCTTCAGTTCCAGAACACAGTGTGCTCACACACATGCACACAAACTGGCAGCACAAAGGCGTGCACACAGGTACACGCACTGGCAGACACATAGGCATGCACACAGGTACACGCACTGGCAGCACAAAGGTGCGCACTGACCAGGCACGAGGGCCTCAGTCTCTGGGGGAGCTGAGAGGTGGCTGTTGGGACCTGAGGCTGCCGGTCACATCCCAGCCCCCAGGCCCTCAAGCCTGCAGGTGAAACGCACGTCCAGGCGCCCCTCACCTTCTTCCCGTCCTCTCGGTCCAGGTGCAGGAAGTAGGTGGGGTACATCCCCCGGTCCATCCCCTTCTTGTCCCTTGAGATGCGGCACTTGATGGTGATGCCCTGGGGAGCTGGTCTCTGTGCAAACTCCTCGAGATCCTGGACCTCAACTTCTGCCGAGGGCTCTGGGGCTGTTGGGCTGAGGGCTGAGGCTGCCTCCTACAGGGAAGAGTGGGACCCCGAGCAGCTGAAATTGGGGGTCTGGGGTCCAGAGCTGACCCTTCATGTGGTGGTGGTGGTGGTGGTGGGAGATGAGACACAGTCCCGGGATGCAGGCCGGCCAGCCTGGCCCTGGGGTCATCAGCTAGCTTCCCAGCCCTTCCCTCCCTCAGCCATCCCTGGGGGTAGGTTCTTAGGTCATCCTGTCCAACTCCAGTTCCCCCACCCTCCTGGCCTGGCAAAGAGACCTGATTGGGGGAAGAGGGGACGGGAGAGCCCAGGCCTGAGCAGCTCTCAATAGGTAGGCATCTGGGCCCGGCCCAGCGAGCCACTCACCATCATTTCTCCACACCATTTCCCCTGCAGCCTGGGTGAGTGACAGCCCTGCACACTGCCGTGCACCCTTCCCTACTCACCCTGATGGACTTCTTGCTAGTGGCGGAGCTGGGGCGGGTATTGCTGTTTAGCTGGGAGGAACTGGAGCTGTATTCGTCCTCATCCTCCTCTTCCTCCTCAAAGCTCATGCTACTGGAGATGCCTGGGCCAGGTAGGAGCAGGTGGGAGGCGTGGTCACATACACACACCCAGGTAGGAGCAGGTGGGAGGCGTGGTCACATACACACACCCAGGCAGGAGCAGGTGGGAGGCGTGGTCACATACACACCCAGACACACACCTGTTCACGGGCACCGAGTCATCATACTGCATGCACACACCCCAGGCCTTAGGTGCACACACATTCACACACATGCCCACAGATGTCCTGATATACACAAGGGCACACTCTCAGGTACATGCTGGGACTGGTCACAATCCTTGGGGTCTGTGCCCCCCACTCCAAGCTTCAGGTCAGTCCCTCTGACCCCCTCCTCTCCAGCACTCGCAATGCCTGCCTCCTGTGTAGCAAGGCCTGACGGGTTGACCCTGTGCTGGGAGCCTCCTCTCTGGCCTCAGGCTTCCCAGAGGCCTTGGCAGGCACAGACCATGGAATGTGCCTGGGAGAGGCCAGCTTCTTAGCCTGCAGTGCAGGGTTGACTCCTCCCCTCCCAGCCTGCGGTAGGTCCTGTCTGTGTGCTTCTCCCCACTGAACGCCCTCTCCAGCCTCTGATTCCCTGAATGTGGGGTGCTGCAGGGCTTCCCTCAGCCGCCCCCCACCAGGGGCTCCCTGGGGCAGGGCTCGCAGTGGGGAAGCTATCCTGGCAGATTTCCTGGATCTGCCCTGCCTCTCAGCATCCTGGCCCTGCTCCTCTGGCTCAGCAGACGGGGGACGTTTTACAAAAGCAGCTCTTTCAAAGGAACCAAAGGGAGCGGAAATCTGTCCCCAGAGCTAGGGCCTCCTTGGGGGCAGGTGATAGGAGTGGGGGAGACAGGGCTGGGCTGTGGGCTGGCTGGTTACCCTGGCTCATACGTCTTTCCCTTGACTTGGCCTTATTAGGGCCCCTGCCCATGTTTTCCATTGGTCTCCCGGGCCCCGCACCAGGGTTTGGGAGGGGCTGGAAGAGACACAGGAGGGTCGTGCTCCCCAAGAAGGGTGCATCTGAGAACCTGGGACTGAGCTTTGGGGGTGTCGCTGGACCCCCACGGGGCTCACCCTTCCTCTGCATCGTGGCACGGAGGTCCTGCCCGCTGGGCTGTGTGCCCCCACCAGCTGCCGTCTCCCCTGCGTCCTGGGCGTGGTCCAACCGGCCCACAGTCAGGATCTGCACTGGGCCTCGAGCCTCAGACTCGTCTTCTGCCAGAGCCGCTGGCCCGCCGGCGCCTGCAGGCCAGGGACACTTCTGAGTCCCGGAGGGCATGGGAGGGGGAGGAGAGCTGGATCCACAGACAGCCACGAAGTGGGTGAGGGCTGAGTGGGGGGGCCCTCTGCAGAACTTTACTTGCAAAACTGACTTTTAAAAAACGAATGATTTGCCGAAACCAGTTTGGCTCAGTGGATAGAGCGTCGGCCTGCGGACTGAAGGTCCCAGGTTCGATTCCGGTCAAGGGCATGTACCTGGGTTGCGGGCACATCCCCAGTGGGAGATGTGCAGGAGGCAGCTGATCGATGTTTCTCTCTCATCGATGTTTCTAACTCTCTATCTCTCTCCCTTCCTCTCTGTAAAAAATCAATAAAATATATTTTTAAAAAAACACGAATGATTGCTGTCAGCCTCTTAATGATTGGTCAGCTCTGAAGGGGCATGGGTTCTGTCACTTCTGCTGTCCCCAGAATTAGTTGCCGAGGGTTGGTTTGAAACGCCTCACATCCCTAGGCAGACGGCAGCCACCTATAAAGCCAGCTCACAGTGAAAAGACTCAACGGAGAACCAGAACCATCCACACCACACGCTCACGGATGTGGCCGGCTGCGAGCCATCAGTGCTGACGTTCCGTCTCAGACACACACAGTCAACTTGCACGTCGTCAAAAACACACGGGCCCTTCGAAAAGGCCGAGGTTGGCACACGTGCGCCTTCCCACAGGGAGGCTCTCCCATCCCATGTCCGCCTTCCTCCCCAGCTGCCACAGCTTCGGTGACTGAAGCGAGGAGGCCTGGCCCACACGTTGGCAGCCACCCTGTCCGGGTGGGCTATGTCCAAAAGACAGCCGTCAGCCCCGGAAGCCTGTGGCCAGCACCCCGCTCCCCCGTCCCAACACACCCGAGGCCTGGAAACCACTGGGCACACATGTGGTTGAGGAGACGAGGTGTCCAGCCCACAGAAACAGGACTCGGGGCAGGGGCCACCGTACCTATCCCTGGGGACCTTTTGGGGAGAGAGGAGCAGGGAGACTGGTCTGTGGGCCCGAGGGTGGCGCTGAGGCTAGGGAGTGGCGGAGGCCCCCAGGGTGACTGGGAGGCTGCAAGCCCCACGGGACAGTGTCCTGGCTCAGGATGGAGGCAGAGGGCTCTCAGGCTGGGCAGGGGAGGGGCTTCGTGGGCCGTAGCTGCGCCGGACTTCCCTTCTTGGCAGTATGGAGGGCCTGCCCCTCACCCACAGGCCAGCCCAGGTGCCCCGTGAGCTAGATGAGGCCTGTGAGCCAGCTGGGTGGGGCCCTGAGTGCCATTTGGTGCCTTCCCCCGGGGCCTCCCACCTGTCCCTGGCCTCCAGGTTGGGAAGATGAGCCTCCCAACCCTCCTGTGGGGGGTCAGGGGGCAAGCCAACCTTTGTGCTTCCCCTTCTTCCCCTTCTTCGAGGCCCCTGCGGCGGCCGCTGCCTTGCTTCTCTTGGCTGAGGCTGGTGCTGTTGGGCGGGCAGCTCCCAGCTGGACACTGGCAAGTGGGTCGGCCTCTTGAACTGCTTAGGAGAGAGCCCAAGACAGAGAGAGACAGACAGGCCCTGGGTGAGACCAGAGCGCCGGCTCACACCCTTCCCAGCACATTCTCCAGCCTCCCCAACCCCAGCAGGGCCTCCCACCACCCATCTGTACCAGGCAGAGGTGCCCGGGACAGGGAGGTGGCACCCAGCCTACCCACACCATGACCAACCAAAGCTCCGGGCCAGCCAACTGTTTGAGCTGGGCAGGGGGGAGGGGGGGAGGGAGCATGACTGGGATATGGTGGATGAAGACAGAAAAGGCTGCATCTCCTGGAAGAGACCACAATGAGGGCCACACTCCAGGGGCCCTGCACTGCCCTGGGGGGACGAGCCCATGGTGGCCGGGGGTGCAGAGTGCCCCGAGGCAGGAGAGACATCCGGACACCAGGAGCGGCACAGAGGCCTCGGGCGGGTCCCAGCTGGTGGCCTCCACGTCCTCCACATAGAACCCTAGTTGCTCCAAGTCCCAGAACCACTTCTCACTGCTCTTAAGATGAAGACCGACATTCCCCTGCAAGTCTGGCTCCTCCATCTCCCTCGCCTTGGCCTTGGTCAAACCGCACACGCCTCACTTCCCAGGCCCAAGTCCCAGCCACACCGTGCTCGTTGTGCACACTGGACTCCCACCGGCCACAGGGGCCTCGCTCTCACTGTCCCGCTGCCTCCCGATGCCACCCGTCCGCTAACTCCCACTCCTCCTGCAGATTCCAGCTCCTTGGGAGCGAGAGTCTGCCATTCACGCACAGAGCTTCCCACAAAGCACACCTGTGACCATATGCTCAGCTCTCCTCCCTCTCAGACCATCAGGTCCACGAGGGAACAGTGGCCACACCTGCTTGTGCTCACCCTGGATTGCCAGCCTCTAATCTGGAAGCTGACACACAGTAGGCCAGCTATGGGCAAACTATGGCCCGCGTGCCGGATTCGGCCCGTTTGAAATGAATAAAACTAAAAAAAAAAAGACCGTACCCTTTTATGTAATGATGTTTACTTTGAATTTATATTAGTTCACACAAACACTCCATCCATGCTTTTGTTCCGGCCCTCCGGTCCAGTTTAAGAACCCATTGTGGCCCTCAAGTCAAAAAGTTTGCCCACCCCTGCAGTAGGCCCTCAAAATAAATACTTAAGAACCGGATGAATACATCACAGCTCTAGGGACAGAGGTCCTGGGCATGGAGCAGCCAGGGTCCAAGTGAAGCTGGACCTGGGCCAGGAGGGCTGCAAGAGACCTGGGATCTGTAATCAGGTCCGGGGCCCTCATTTTGGTCAAATTCCCCTTGTATTTAACACCAAGAGTCAGCAGGGGGCGGAGCAGGAGAAAGCTAGTGCTGCGGGGAGGGCTGGGGTGCTCCAGGGAACACCAATCCCAGGCCAGCCAGCCCCTCTGGGGCTGCGTCCACCTCAGAGCCCAGCAGAAGCAGCAGGACCCAGCCTGGTCTGGACTCTCACGATGGACCTCAAAGCACGATGGATGCTTCAATGTTCAAAGTCTGGAGAGAATTTTTCTCCCTTACAGGAGACAAACCCCGAGGGCCAGTGACGTGCTCAGTCACAGGTGAGCAGGTAGTGGCATGACCAGAAACTGCCTTCTGAGTTTGGTCCCTCCTGCGGGCCTGGCACACAGTTCAGAGCTCGAGAGGCACCTGCCAACATGACTGTGCATCGGTGACTTGTAAGACTCTCTCAAAGCCTCAAGGTGTTGGACTGCGGCCCAAACTGGCAGGGCCTGAAGTCCCAGGAGCAGGCTCCCATCCCACGTGCAGCCTCGAACGGTCAGGTGCCAGGCCTGGCAGAGCTGGGCTGGGATGCCCACCCAGCAACAGGTGCCTTCCCTGCAGGGCACCACTGCCACTCGGGACCGTGCTCACGGAGAAAGTGTGAGGAGAGGGCTGCCAGGAAAGGGTGGGGCCAGGGCCAGGTCTGCGTGGAGCCGCCGGAGCTGGCTGTCCAAGGCAGCAGCGTGGGGCTGAGGTCCCTGTCCCCGTCCTGTGCAGGGCCTCTCGGGTGGAGTACCGCCATACCAGCCTGGCCTGGTGCTGAACGGCAGCCCACACAGGGAAATCACTGTGACAGACCTCCCTGTCAGGGAGGTGACAAAACATGGTGGCAAGGCCATTTGGAGTCCGACAGGCCTGGGTGCAAAGCCTCGTCCCGATGCTCATTAGCAACGTACCACGGGCAAGTCGGTGACCCCCTGGGAGTCCAAATGCTTATCGATCCTGTGGGGATAACGAGTTACTTACTGTAAAGAATAAATGAGGTAACGCAGGTAGAGCGCCCAGCACCATGCTTAGCCACTGGCAAGTGCCTTTATTATCAGGTATGAATGGGTTTCCTCAGTGGAACGAGGGCAAACAGAGGGCACGGAGCTTGTCCAGGGTGCTGTGCCAAGACTGGGCACTAGGTGCTGCCCTCCAAGACACAGAGAAGGGGACCCCGTGTGCTCAGGGCTGGGTTAGCGGAACCTGAGACACCGTGCGCCAGGCTGTGGGGAGGGCCCGACAGTCATGAGAAAGGTTAGCCCTGAGCTGAGGCAACTACAGGAGCTGGAAGTGGCTGGCGCTACAGGAGCTGAGGAAACCACAGAGGAGGGGAGCGCCATGGTTGCTACGGTTCCTTCCAACTGCAAGAGCCAGATGCCACCTTCTCGATGCCACCTTCTCACAGAGAAGGCACTGGGATTACCTGCACCAGCAGGGGGCAGTGGGACTGCATCTGAGTCCCTCCTTAGCGATCAGAGAGACCAACCCTCTGTTCAGCCTGAGGTACTCTTCCCCTAACCTACAGGTGGGTCCTGAGCTCAGGGAGGCAACGGAGCCACCCCTCCCCAACCCCAGGACGAGCTCTGCTGACAAGCAGAGTGCAAAGATGGGAGAGCTGGAGGCTGCTGGTCACCATGGCCTTGTGCAAGGACCTGCGGTCAGAAGCCAGGAAGACGGAGGCGTGGGGAGCCCAGGGAGGGGAGGCAATAGGTGTCTCCCAGGAGACACTGGCTGGTGTGGGATGTTGAGTGCATTCCTCCAGGAGGCAGAACACCAGTGGGGAGCAGACCCTTCTGCTCCTAGGAACTGCCTCCTGCTCTCGGTGAAAGTCTCCTGATCAGAAACCTGGACATTTGAACTCCCAGATCAATAAAGTTTTAGCTTCTGGCTCCAGCACCTGACCCAGGAGCCCACGGTTCCAGGTCCCAGCCTCCCTCCACCGGCCCCACTCAGCTGTCTGCTCCCGCTGGGAGCCACGCGCAGCCTGGACACACCCTGACAGAGGGCCCTTGCCTGCTCAGGTTGCAGGAGTCCCTGAGGGGTGTGGAGCCTCCCGGGCTGGCTGTCCCAGGCTGTCCCAAGGGCAGGGTGTACCTTGGTAGCTGGTGCTGCCACTGCTGCTGAGGTAGGACTCTACCAGGGGGGCCTGCTCCTCCGACTGCCGGGCCCGCCGGCTTCGAGGCCGCCCGTCGGCATTGGCCTGCACCATCAGCGGCTCCTGGCGCTTCTTCTTCTGCTTCTGCTCCAGCAGGGCCCGCTGCAGAGGCACCGGACAGGCATTGGGGGGCACCGGGCTGGAGGGGGCAGCCCACTGCCTCCACCCGAGGGAGGGCTCCCAGCCTGGGAGCAGAGAGAAAGCCCTGCTAGCTCAGCTTGCTTCTAGAGACCCCAATGGGGGCCTACATCCACTCTGGGCCAAGGCCTCATGTCCTTGGTGCCCCGAGACTTGGGGTCCAGGAAAAGGAGGCAAAACTCAGCCCAGGGAGCTGTCCTGGCAGGACCACAGCTCCCCAGTGGCCTGCGTGGCAGAAGCCCCGTGTACTGATCAGTGCTGAGCTGGTAAAGGAGAGAGCTGCTCTGTGTGTGTGTGTGGGGGGGGGGGGGGGGGGGCGCTCTCCCCACCAGTCAGGATCACCCAGGAAGCGGGCAGCCAGGATGGCGAGTGCCCACCTTTCCACCCAGCTGCTCTGTGTGGGTGGGTGGGTGGGGGGGGAGGGCCGCTCTCCCCACCAGTCAGGATCACCCAGGAAGGGGGCAGCCAGGATGGCGAGTGCCCACCTTTCCACCCGGCCCCAGGCTCACTCACCTGCCGGTCAAGCTTCTGCTGCCTCAGGTTGCTGCCCTCATCATCTAAGACACTGCGGAGGGAGAGAGGGGCGTTCAGGGCCTGCCCACGAGGTGCCAGGGATCGGCCCAGAGCCCACCCAGCACATCTGGGTTCTTTAAACCCCTCCCATCACGGCTGAGAGAGAGGAAGGGTGAGCTACTATCTGGAAACCAGCTCGAGACAAAAAGGCCTGCACTATATTCCTTGTGGCTCTGGGAGCTTATCTCCTGCTGGGATCCTTGGCCCCAGTAGCTACAGGAGGCTTCTCCCTTGGGCCCATGAGCAGGGCCTGACTGCATTCTGGGACCTGTCCAGAGGCATCGGGCACAAGCCGGGCACAAGGCCAGGCTTCCAACCAGGGACCTGCCCACTCGGGCTCCCTCTCAGATCGCCCCACCCCTCCCCCTGCCTCTCGGTCCTTTCTGGGGAAACCTGGGCCCTTGGGGCAGACCCTCTCCTCATCTGTTCAAAGCAAGCGCCTGGCTCTCCAGGTGGCAGAGTGGTGCTGACACTGCCCACTGAGGCCAAGGGAGAGTGCGGCCAAGTGGCCAACCAGTCCCTCAGGGTAGGGCTGGGGCTGGGTGGGCACATCAACACACGATCCACCAACCAGCCACTGGACCCTTCCCTGGCCACAGACGTGGCGCCAGGCAGCACCAGGGCATCGAACCCTTGAGGTGTCAGGACAGGCAGCGTCGTCTCACACAGACTGGCCCTGCCTCCCAGGAAGGCAGAGCACAGCAGCGAGCTGGTGATCCAAACCACTTAATTTTCTTTCTAGTCCAAGGCACATACATGGGACCTAGGCCCCCAATTCTGTAAGGTCAGGCCAGCTGCATGGGGTGGGGTTGGAGCCTGAGGGGCTGAGCTCTGGGAACCCCCTATGCCATCCTGGCCCAGTTATGTGCCCGAGTGCATGAGGTTTGCGTGTGTGAGGCTATAAGTATGTCTCGCGAATGTGCACAAATGTACGAGTGCATCTACCTGTGTAAGAGACGGGCGTGCTTGTGTGTGGGTGAGTGCAGTGTGCATGGACGGGGGAAAGATGAGGTCCAATCACCCCAAAGACAAGTGGAGCCATTTCCACTCCTCCTGACAGCAGTAGCAGCCCTTCTGGCAGAAATACTCATTCACCTAAACTGTCCCTTCCGCTCATCCAAACTATTTGTGTCTCTGAGGGCTGGGGAGCCAGCCAGAGAGCGGCAGGAAGTCCATGATCACAGCCAGCCCACCACCCTCCTCCCTGGCCACACTGATGAGGGCTCTGCATACCTTAACCCGGCGGCATCCTACCTACTAGCCAATGGGAAGGCCTTTCCCGACACACACGGCGGCTCTGCACTGGGCGGAGCCCTGACTGTGACCTGGGGCTGTGCACAGACCAGCCTTATTCTCCGAAACCTCAGCTGCCACAGCCCAAGAGAAAACCCAACAGACGTGCTTCTAAGTCAGACCTGCCCACCTGCCCAACAGCACACAGCTGCACTGGGACCGCCGAGAGCACCGCCAGGACCGAGGACGGGGACCAGCTCCTAATCTCAAATGGGTGGGATGATGGGTGTCCCCTCGGAAAAGGCACGCACCACCGCGGGAGGGCAGCAGGGATTCTGGAGAAAGGGGGACGGTACTAGAGAGAGCACGGTGCCCGGGCCCTGCCGGGCCTGAGAGGCTCCAGCTCTCCACCTGCCTCTCCACCTGCATCACCGCCCTGTCTGAGGAACACCAGCACCAGGTGCCTGTGTCCACACACTACTTCCCCATGTCCGCCGCAGGCACCATTTCCAGGGCACCGGGAACTGCAGGCTGAGTCTGCATGACACCTGGCTGACAGGAGCCACGGGCCTGACAGCCAACTGGGCTCTGCTTGCCAAGCTCTGGGCCGGGCACGCCCCGGGCAGCCTGCAATCCCTGTCCCGTGCTAGCGGCCTGGCCACAGGAGCCCGGGTCACCTCACACAGAGCTGGCTCTCTTCCTGTAGCAGGAGGGTCATGGCTTCCCAGATGACGCAAGCCACATGCCCTTTCACAGGGCAGGGCCAGGGGTATTCCTCCGGGACATTGCGGGCCCTGGGTTTGGCTGAGCAGGAAAAAGATGACTTCCATGGTGCTGGGCCATTTCGAGAAGGTGTGACCTCCACCTGAGAGGTAAGCTCACGTTAGCAAAGCCACCTCCTGAACAGCTGGGTCACGACACGGGGCTGCCCGGCTGACAATAGAAGGTTCCAGCCCTTGTGCCCCCCTTGCCCAGTGCCCCCTCCCGTGTCCTTATCTGTGCCCGGGGGTGTTTTCCTACCACAGGTCGCTGCCCCGCTGCCGTGGACTTTTCCACACGTTCCACCCAGGGAAGGGGGCTGCTTCCCATGAAAACTACTCCTCTTCCTCTGCCCCCACCCGATTCCCTGATGGGGGATGATGACAAAGAGCCGCAGCCACTAATAACACGGTCCCCAGGTCGGGCTACAGACAAAACAGACTTAACCGCCGGCCTTCAGAGAAAGATGGATGCATACAAGGACTCGGCCTATAAAGAATTCCAGAAACTCCGATGTCCTGGAAGTGCCAGAGAGCTGCCCGCCTGCCCACCACCTCACTTCCCACCAGGCGGTGGGGCAGCAGGGAGGAGGGAGCGCAGGGTGGGCGGCATCTGGGGGAGCAGCATGCACTGGAGGATAAGAGTGCGCCTGGCTGAGCAAGGCCACCCAGGCCGAAGGACACACACCTGCATGAGGCTCCAGGAGTGGGCACACGGGGGAGGGAAGTGGGCCCGGGTGCAGCAGTGATCCCAGGAGGGCCGCAAAGTTGCCCGGCAGGGACCAGCTCGTCCTGGCTGCCTGGCTGCCTGGAGCACACACCTGCCCCCGGTGCACAGCAGCGTGTTGTTGGGAACAATGACAACAACGATGCTGTCTCCAGGGAGAGTGGAACCCCAGCTGCAATCACCTCCTCCGCAGCTCAGCCTCCCCCCCACACACACACAGGGGGAGGCCCTGCCTGCTCAGCGCCCACTGCAGCACCTCTCCTAGGCACCTTCCTTTCCCACCAACACGCCCAGCCACCCTTTTTCCGACAGGCGCTGCTCTAGGCCGCACTGAGCGATAACCATGAGAGGAGACGTAATGGCTTTTTAATGACTCAGGCTCCAATTATGGAATCACTGCCAAGCCCAGGCTGCCAGCTGCAGCCCCGCCAGGAGACTCTGACGGGAGGCGGGGCCCTGGTGGATGGTCTTCCAGCTGACCCTGGTGGCTCCCTCATTCCGGTCACCTCCTGCTGGGGGCCAGACCGGGGAGCCCAGGAAAGCACCAGCCGCTGAGGTGGCCCCTTCGCCACCCAGGGGGACAGCCTCTGTGCATCCCTTGCCTGCCTTGAGGTCAGACAGATATCTGAGGAGTGAACCTGGCTGGACAAGTGAGTGCGGGGGCACGTCTCCTGTGGGCTGGAAAAGCCAGACAGGCCAACGTAGTTAGAAAGCCGGTTCCCACCCCTTCTTAGACTCACCCCACCTAATCCACCTAAACTGACAGGGGCCTGGGGGCCAGGCCAACCCAGGGACAGACCCACTCTCCATGCCCCCTTCACCCTCCCCTTCCTGTCCTCATTCTTCCCCCTCAGGCACAGTGGACTGGGAAAAAGGGAAGTGGGCTGTCAGGGAAGAAAAGACCACCCAGGTGCCCGGCTACAACCCCTGTGCCCAATGCTTGACACCCTCCCAGCCCCCCAGCACATCCAGGCATCCAGTGCCCAGGGGAGCGACTTTCAACCCTTTTCATCTCATGGCACACATAAGCTAATTACTAAAATTCTGTGACACGGCAAGAAATACATTTTTTGCCAATTTAACAAAAGAAATGGGCATAATTTTTATTCATTCGCACCGATGGCTATTGTTGCATTGGCTGTTGTCATTTTTTACTTGACAATCTAAGGCAGGGGTGGGGAACCTTTCTCTGCCAAGGGCCATTTGGATATTTATAGTATCGTTCAAGGGCCATACAAAATTATCAACTTAAAAATTAGCCTGCTATATTTGGTCAAACATTGATTTAACTCGCCCCATTAGCCTTGGCAGGGCCAGACCAAATGATTTCACGGGCCTTGTACTGTCAGCAGGCCAGACATTCCCCACCCCTGATCTAAGGGAAGAGAGGTCAGTGCCTCTGACTAAATAGTCAGGTATTGCATGTTTTAAAAATCCTTGTGGCACACCGACTGAAAACCACGGGCCTAGGGCTGCTTGGAACACTGTGGAAACAGTGGGGATGGGAACTGGGGGGGGGGGGGTGGAGAGGCCAGCTCGAGAAGGAAGAGAACCATGCTGCTCACAAGCCTTCCAGCCTCCAGCCATGAGGCGCCTCCATTCCAGCCACTGGCGTCCTAACTTACCAGGTGCATTAAAACTGCTAGGGCATCGGCCCTGACTTGGTAATTTGGAACTGCTGGGGAAGATGCCCAGGCTCAATACCCCGCCTCACTCTCTCTTGTAAAGCAAGTCTCCCAGGTGGTTCCAATGCTGGGCATGCAAATGAGGACCGTCAGGAACCAACAAGAATGTGGGGAGCTGCTATGAGGCTGATGCTCGGCTGGGGTAAGAAACTAGTCTGCAGATCAGCAGCCAACGCAGGCCTCAGGGAAGACTGTGGAAGGGATTGACTGAACAGCTGAACGGCGGTTTGAGTAGCAGAAGACAAGCGACCACTCGGAGTAAGCCCAAGTTCCCAAGTCAGGGCGCGGGTCCTCGGGGCTACTGGGAAAACGGGAAGACAGAACAGCCAGGCATCCACATGGAATCGCAGGGACCAGCAACCGACGATAACTTGTGGGCGAGAAGAGGCAATGCAAGCGGCACGCTAGTCCAATTAGACAAATATTCAAAGGTTTCTGGGTCATGACAGAGTCAGAGGAGGTTTCTAGCATCTTGCTTCTCTTGGTTAGCATGTTCACCAATGACGACAAGGCAGGCCTCACAGGTGACACTCACCAGGACGGTAGGAATTCAGAAGACTCGGATAAGCTAGCAGAGAGAAAGACAAGC